GGTTGCAAGATATATCGATGAGAATAGATCGTGGAATATCCATGGAATTCAACACTTAATCTCTGAAGAAACTAGAAGGGAGATTCTAAAAATCTCGATACCAACTTTGACCGACAACCAAGAAAAGGATAAAATTGTTTGGGGTTTCTCTAAAGATGGGTTATTCACTGTCAATTAAGCCTATCAAGTAGTATCCAATATGGAGATGGGTGAGCAAAATGGAGAAAATATAAAGTGGATACGGAAAACACGTACAAGCGAGAGAATCAAATTCTTTGTTTGGCTTTCCTACCTAGACAAGCTCAATATAAATAAAGTTAGAAAGAAGAAAAATATGACACATGATCCAAATTGCAAAGAGTGTCGAAATGAAATAGAATCTATAAATCATATTCTACGTAGGTGTCCCGTAGCAAGAAGGATCTGGGAAGAGCTAAAGGCAGGCGAACAAGATAAACATTTCGATTCGATGGATTTTAAAGAATGGTTGAAAAGGAACTGCCTTTCAAAGAAACCCGGGATTGACGGCTTGGAATAGGGTCCCTTATTTTTGGCAGCCATTTGGGGACTGTGAAAGAATATAAATGAAAGAGTGTTCATGAAAGGGAGAGTTGACACGTTTAAAGTGACAAACTATGCTAAACAATTCGTCAGAGATATGGAAAAAGCTTTGTCAACCTCGCATAGAAGAATGGCAAATGATCCATGCTGGGTTAAATGGAAAAAGCCAGCTGAGGGAAGTTGGATTTTAAATACTGATGGTGTGTATAAATCTAGTACATGTTTGACTGCTGCAGGTGGACTGATCCGGGATTGCAATGGCGACTGGAAGTGTGGATTTATGATGCGGTTGAAGAATGGGAATAGTTCGATCGCTGAAATCTGGGGAGCTCGACAAGGACTCATACTAGCTAAAACTCTAAGATTAAGAAATGTAATCCTTGAGATGGATGCGAAATGGGTGGTGGACTGTTTGAAAGGTGAACAGATTGAAGAAATATCAAATTATGAGCTGATAAAGGTCTGCATAAATATCTTGAAGGAAGGTTGGGTATCAGAAGTCCAACATATTTGGCGTGAAGGAAATAAATGCGCCGACAAGCTGGCAAATCTTGCATTGATTCATGAAGAAGAAAACTTTATCTTGCAAGGGCCTCCAACTGAACTCCTTGAGCTGTTGGAAGCTGATAAAAATGGCGCCGGAGAGTTGAGACAATAGTCTGTCATGTGATCTTTCATTGTACCAAAAAAAATAATATTTCTCTAGGAAAAGTAACTAAAACCCTAGAAAATGAACTAAGAGAGAAACATTAAATCATACAGTTAATGCTTGTATAATACCCACCGGCTTTTTTATTATTATTTAAATCTATTAATGAGCACATATGTATTATTGATGTAATAAATGCATATATATATATATATATATATATATATATACGAGTCTTATTAGAGTGGGAATATATCGATGGAATTTTGTGTTTCTTCAGTAGCTCTAAAGATATTACGAAAGTCTAAAGATAATTTTTTATAGTTTTTTTTTAATGAGTATTAATGTGGTTTGAGGGAGTCACTACCGAATTTTATTATGATATTATTGAGTCACTCGAAAATTTCATTTTAATATTTACTTATAAGAGAAAACAATATGAAAATCAATTACGTGAAAAAAAATTAGTACAACGCATTTTGAGAACCTAGTCCATTAAAAATTGTCTTAATAATAAAATTTATAAATTCGAGTCAAAATTTAAAAGATCATTCAATTACCTTTGAGATACTGACAAAAAAGTTGAAGAACTATAATAATAAAAATACTAACTAAGATTATGGTTAAACAACAAAAACAAATAAAATATCAAATTTAAATTAACACATAAAATAAATAAGAAATTACATTAAATTTTTTAAAATATAAAAGGTCATTAGTATATAAAAACATAAAAAAATTAAGGAAAAAAAAGAAAACAAAACAAAACAAAACAAAACAAAAATAATATATGATAAAAAACAAAAGTAAATAAAAAGTAAATAGAACTTAATATGAATATTTATATATATATATATATAATAATTTTTTTTAAAAAAACTTATATCACATATTAATAATAAATAGGTAATAAATAAATAAAAATAATAAAAAAGTGTAAATAGAATTACATGAAAAATTAAATATGTAAGGATTATATACATAAAAATAATATTTTATGAGCTATATGAGCTGCCACAGTTGCTGATAAGCAGCCCTTATTCTAAACAAGTGATAAATACAACTAGTTTTCTCGATTAGCAATGTAATGTGCCAAATGATGCAATGGTGCAACCCTTGCAGCATCAAAACAAGCCAGCTCTTCAACAGATTGAGCCATCAGATCATCGGCAAGTTTTTTCACCCCTGCGATGCCCATCAGCTTCGGATACGTTACCTTATCGCTAACCTAGTCTTTCCCCGCAGTCTTCCCTAGCTGCGCAGATGACTTGGTCACGTCCAAGATATCATCCACCACTTGAAACAACATCCCTATGCACCTTGCATATTTCCGAACCCTTTCGATGTCGGCGTCGTTTCCGCCTCACATTATCGCACCGCAGACGGCACAAGCCTCTAAGAGCTTGGCGGTTTTATGGACATGGATGTACTCCAATTCTTCCAAGCTCACTTCTTTTCCCTCACTCTCGAGATCCATAATTTGACCCACCACGAGCCCTTTGGACCCTACTGCCGAGCTCAACTCGGAAATTGCTCGAACCACGCGATCTGGCGAAACATTTCTTGGGCTGGAAGCAATATGCTCAATGGCGAGGCAGAGGAGAGCATCGCCAGCAAGAACGGCGGTTCCTTCGTCGAATACCTTGTGGTTAGTAGGCTTACATCTTCTAAGGTCATCCTTGTCCATGCATGGCAAGTCATCATGGATCAACGAAGCCGTATGTATCATCTCTACGGCACAAGCTACCGGCATCGCCAACGAGTCATCTCCTCCCACTAGTTCACACGAAGCGATACAAAAGAATAGGACGGACTCGCTTGCCTCCGGCACCTCATTGCCTCATTGATCTTTAACGGATGACGCAAGGGTACCGCCTCATCGAGCGCTTTGTTAACTTGTTTCGCCTTCATGGCCAAATATTGTTCGAATCCGAATCACATAAATGAATTTGCTTGTGAAATGCACACGTTTTGTTTCCAGGCTAGAATTAAGATACTTGTATTGTCTGAACCAGTAGACACTTATAGTAAGCATTCAACATGCAACGCAAGTAAAGAAATTCAACATGGCTGATGATGCTTCATGTTTACGAACCTTATGTTTAGGAAGTGATTAACATGCCAGCCAGCCTGAATATTTCTCTTAATAATAATATATTAATCATTTATATATTAGTTTAGCATAATGAAATTATGTTAAGTCTTGCAAATAAAGTTAAGATTTCGAATCTTGAGTCTTGACGTTGTGAATAAAAAAATTAGATTAAGAGAGTCGTCCTTAAAATAGTTTTCATCATTATCTTATTCAGATTAGTTGGTTAATAAATCGAATATAAGTGAATAAAAATATATATTAACTATTCTTAATATTAAATTAATATAATTATATCATCTTCATTTATGGAATGTATGAAGTTAGTCTATGCCTTAAAATGGTGCAAACTTATGAATTGATGTGTACCCGCTATAAACCTTGTGAATTGATGTGTAACCACTATTCAGTATGAAAATGTTTTAGGCATAATGGCCAACTGAGTCCTTAATATTTCATTTTTCATTAATTTGATCCTTATTTTTTAAAACTAAATTTAACCTTCAATCTTTAAAATATATATATTCAAAATAACATCAATCATTTAATAATGAACACTCAAATATCTTTTCATACATCGTATTTAAACTCGATATTTTCAGGGATAACAAACAAATATTTTTTTATTAAGATAAGATGATTACAAAATAATATATGTTTTAAGTATTCTCAAATATTTGATATTGAACACTCAATCACCTTTAGCTGGTACTCGAACCCATGACTTCAAAAAACAACAATAATTTTTTTAACTACTGAAATAATTTGATTCGTACCACGTCATCAAATTAATATATATATATAAAGGGTATTTTAAATAAGTAAATTTCCTTCTCTGATATGATAAGACTTGGCCACTGCATCAACGATCTCGTTCTACGTTCAATTACCAAAATTTCATGGGCAAATCTAGCATAATCTTGGGTAGTTTTGGGGTATGGTAATTTAATTTAATGTTAATTTAAGATTTTAACAATCTAAAATGTTATGTTTATCTTAAAAAGTTATACAAATTTATAACAATTTAGGTTGCAATAAAAGAATTACATTGTGAGAATTTAAGGTTTACAACCGAAAATATTTTAAAAAATATAATATTTTTTGTTGTAACCAAAAATATTATAAAAAATATAAAATTTTCAGTTGCAACATGTACAACCTAAAAAGTTACTTTGCCCAACTTAAAAAATTTGCTCTTGATAATATTTTCGATTTAATCGATTTCTACTACTTTTTATTTTTGTCATTTTTTAATCTTATATTAAGAAGTTGTATTTTAAAATTTCTCTCTAATCTTTGATGGAAAAAACCAAAATTTCTTTTTAAGGGTCGAAAAAATATATATATTTTGGAGGACCAAATGCATAAATATCTCATTAGAAATATTTAAATCCAATCATAAATATTTTAGAGGAACTATAATGGGAAAAGCCAATTTTTCACTTTTACCAACGGGGACATGTAGCTATTCAAAAGACTCAACCATTTGAGAATGAATACACAAATACTCCTTAAAACGTGCTTGAACTTAAAACCTCTAGGAATAACAATCATCCTTTTAACTAAAGGGATCGCTTGGTTCGTGCACCACTCTTAAACTTTCTTATTTCCGTTAACTTCTTATCAACAGCACAACGGCTCTTCACATCAACCAGGATGAACCGTCATGAACAACTATCTTCCATCCGTAACATCATGTATCAACCAACAGATCTAAGCTCCTAGTTCAAACAGGTTTTGTTTCAATCCCATGGAACGGTAACATGAATTCAATATTTCATTTACCGACTATCTTAAATATCCAATGCACAAGTACAACCATATTGAAGTTTTTAGTATTCCCACAAATTACAACTAGAAAGATGATTGCACATTGAAGTTTATAACTAATCAAGCACATGCTTGTTATCGAGCATGATGTTCAAAAAGTTTGTGGAGCTCACCTTGTTCGAACAAGTTCAAGTGGGAGAGTCTCCATTGCCATCTGAAATTCGAAAAGGATGGCTTTAGATACGACAAAAAGCTTCTATTTGGAAAAGAAACCTGGAATATTGCATACCCATAATCTTGGAGTTAGTGGATCTGATTTTGGATGTCGTCTGGATAATTCAGACTGAAAGGTGATGACTATTGCAACTTTGAATTCGATGGAGAAGGGACCAGCTAAGACAGTTGGACAAGTCGAAAGACGGGGTAATACAACATATATAGGCAGCGTCATATTGCGACAGACATCTCCATCTGCTATCTAGACAAGAATAAATGAAGGCTGTTAAATGATACATCAAGTGATGAATTTAACAATTACATCGGGTGTGAAAAATCGCACCTGTGTAGTCTGTATCAATGAAGTTTCCGTGATGATTTTTTCGCCAAGAAGAACTGACTCTACACGAAGTAAGTGAATGTCGATAGAAGAAATGGGAAGTGCGGATGCTTCTACAGTTAGTTCTCCACCAAGAGGTTCAAGCATCGGACATTGTGTGGATATTCTTCCTGTGATGCGAAAGCCACCTATTCAGCCAAACATCTAGTCAGTGGGGGTCAATGAAATGAGTATATAAGAATTTGGATGCAATGCTGCTGAAGTTCCACATCATCCAAATTTCTTAAAAATATGTCCTATGAATAACATACTAAATATTCCCTTCTTTAAAATTTGAATGATACTAGAGCAGGAACATAGGAAACGGCAAAAACCTGATTTCAGTTCAGGAAGTATAGGATGTCTTTGAGTGTCCTGAGTAACGTAAAAGATACCATCAGGAGAAATTGGTTGGTTAAGAAGATTAGCTGCAAATATGTCATAAAAGGTAAAGTCCATTTAACCTGATTCATGTCTATATAATTGAGAAGAAGACTTTAAAGTTTAAACTGAACCATACCTTTATCACTTTCTACTATGAATTCCACTGTAGCAGATAATGATTTATGCAGGTATCCTCTCATTATATCTACAGTTGCCAAATACTATAACAAGATAGATTAAAATGAAGAAAGAGTCCAATAGTGACAGAACAATGTTAAACAGAGATTTCTAGGATAACAAAATAGTCACCTGGATGCTAATATCTGTTCCATGGAAGGTTTCATAAAATCTTTCCGAATTATCTTCTTTAGGGTTCCACAGAGTTATAGAGAACGGTATCTGCCACACCAACCTAGAATGACTGCTAATGGACATATTTGGTACTTGCAGTTTCCAAAGGAATGAGAATCAACCATTAAGGACAAAATCTTAAGAGACAGTTGCATCAACCTTGTTTTGTTTAACTCTCGCCACCAACACAGAGCCCAAAATTCAGCCCTTCTATTTTTTAGAAGAGATGTGATGTTTAGGTCCCTCAGCTCTGTCAAAGGTTAGAATTTATGGCAGGGTTGTGGTTCATGCTCAAGTACCATTATTACAATCGTATCTTGCCATTAGACTAGTTGAACTCTCACTTGAACATGCAGTTTTTGGTGTGAGTTACTTCCACTTTGTTCAAAAAGTAAAACTAAATAAACATATGTAACTCTTGAAATACATTTTGCACAAGTACACAAACATAAGGGTATTATATATTTCATATTGATGTACTACCTCTGTTGTACCTGAAACAATTCTACCAGAAGGTTCAATCTCGATGATCCTATTCCTGCGTAAATAAGAAAAATAAAACTTCTAAGGATATTTGCATAGCGTCAACATAAAAACAGCTTGCGAAAATTAAAAAAGCCAAACACAAATCACAGTAAGTATAACTAAGATAATACTAATTTTAGAATAAACCTTATTGGTTATTTTGGGAAACCCTACAAGTACTAGTCAAATTAAAAGGATTTCCATAATGCAAATCATGAGTATGCCTTCAAGCTTAACTAAAAAAATAGTGCAGAAAGCTAGTGGAAATATCATCAATATTATCAAATAATTCCTTCTAATGAGACTTCAAGCACCCTATGTCCAAGCCTATACCAGATCAAGGTTTCCTAGGCACAGCTGATCTAGAGCCAAAGATATGGTACGTGAATGAGAACTTCAAATAACATGAATAGCATTCTAAGCCATTTCAGCCCTAGAAGAGAAGTACAACCCATTATTTGCCAAGGCTAACCATATAAAAACTATAAAATGTTTAGGCATCTAGAATAATACCAACTCTCTTAAGACACCTGAAAGCTTCTCTACAAAGACAAATAGACCAACGATCACGTATACACATGTTACAGAAGGTGTATATCGAAATCCAAAAGTTTCTAAATCATAAGAACCGTCCCTATTAATTGTTTCATTTAATGCTCCCAACACTAAGATTAGCTATACCATTTAACTGTAATTTACATAGAAGTCCATTCCTCTATCTTGAATCTTGACACTAAACTTTCACATACAACAAGGCAGTGTACACAATTCATCTTTCTTCCCATCCAACCTAAACAAAATAAAATATCCAAGGAAGTTAGCAATTACAATTAAGTAGGATTCAGGCACACAATCCGAGATCAGAATTTTGTAAACAACGCTGCATACTTTTTAGGTCGGTTTCCAAGTTCCATTTCAAATTTTCAGTTACGGTCCGCATGTGTCAAAGCTATAAAGTAGAGAAAATTAAGATAAACGTACAGGATGATAATTGGCTTGAGAACACCATATAAGGACTCGATAACTCCGGCCGAACCTCCTCGAACCTTTAAAAAACAGGAAAAAAAGGTGGAAAAAGGAAAAAGGAATAGTCACATAAATAAAACTCTAGTTGTTTGATCTCCAGAAATGGAAGGAAAAGGAATAGTCACATAAATAAAACTCTAGTTGTTTGATCTCCAGAAATGGAGAAACCTGGAGGGTGACAGATCCGTTGAGGACGATGCGAATTCCATAGTGAGAGATGGAAGAAGCAGATATCACCACGATCTTGCCTTCAAGAGGCTCCTATTAAAAAGACCACACAAAAATCCACCGTCAAATCACTAGAATTTTAATTCATCGCGGAAAGAAAGAGAGAGATAACGCACGGAGGGGCGGTAGATGCGGTTGGGCCGGGACAGGGAGAGCTCTATTTTGGTCGACATCGCCCCTACAGTCTATAGAAGCATCAACGACAGCTGCAGTGTAGATGAGGGGAAACTGGTAAGCAAAACTATGGGAGAAGGCAAGCAGCCAAGCTATACTCATTTCAATATTGAATTTTGCAATCAAATTCGGCATTATCCCCTAATTTTAATGATTTAATCATTTTACATCTTAAATTTTAGGTAAAACTATTCCACATACCACCCAACTTCAAGTGTTAATTTGTTTATACCACCGAATTTCTAATTTTGTCAATTTTAATACTAATATTATGTTTTACATTAAATTATACTACTCTAACATTTATGACTTAACGATGACATGATAGTTGCACGTCGTAACGATGAAGACGTGGAAACCATTTTCCATGCAATATTGTATTTCAAAAATTAAATGATATTAAAATACATTAAAGCTTGCTTTGACGATTTCACGACGGAGTCATCGTTTTGATGTCCATAAGGTTGCTAACAATCCTCAAGACTAGCTGCAGTCTGCTAAGAATATGCAACGCTCGAATTCCGTACACCCGAAACCGGAGTGGACTGCTGGTGGTATTGTACTTCTGATCAGAAAGCACTCAGAGAGAACTCACAGAGAGAACTTTAGAAAACACTTTGTAAGTGAATTGTGAATGTTTTTGAATAAGTTGAGAAGCTGAATATAGCTCTCTATTTATAGGCTAGAAATATGGTTAAAATCGTCTATAAAATTTTAGGATTAAATCTCTTATTTGTAACAGCTGAAACGTCTAGATGAACCTGACTCAGAAATAACTCCTGATATTAACAGCTGAAACGTTAGATGAACCACGACCACGACCACGACCACGACCACGACCCGGGACGGGACGGGCGGCGACGGCGGCGGCGGTGCGCGAGAGCCCCCCTTGTTCTCTATCACTCAACAAGGAAGTGGAATGTCAAGCCTTAAATACCATTCCCAATAGTGTTTCCAACACTATGTGGGATTGAGCATTACCAACAACCTTTGTCAATAGTACTATTGGTATGTCTAACTCCAATCGATATAAAAATATATAGTATATAATTATCAAAGTTGTCTCTAATGTTTATCTGAGGAGTCACTTTAGCTCCTACCTTTAATTTTAGGACAAAATGCTCTAGGTTAGATAAAAATCATTAGTTAACTAACGGTCAATGCTATTGCTGACGTGATAAATCCTACATGTTCAAATTGATTATGTGGTATATGTCACATGTCCATAAGTTATGACATGTCACATATTATGTGTTTAAAGTGATAATACAACACATATAATATATACATAAATAATAATGTGACACATCATGTACATAAATGATTATGTAATACATATCACATGTACATAAGTGATGATGAGTCATACGTCATATTATTATTTTGGATACATAGAACTTGTCACGTCAGTAACAAGTATTGATCATTAGTTAACTAACTATTTTCGTCTAATCAGAGGACATTTTATCTTAAAATGAAATATTGAATACTAAAGTGTAAAAAAGAAGGTCAAAATGATTATTTGATCAAATATTAGGACTAAATTTTAATATTATGTCAAAATATACGCAGGCCGTAAACTTCTTGATTTCTAGTACGATGATAGACGTGAATCATGTTAATGAAAATGGCTTTGCGCCACTCGATCTTTTGTCACAAAACCAAAGAGACGTGATCGATAAAGAGATTGCAGACTCTTCGAAGGATGGGAGCTACACATGCAAAACACAAGCCTTCATCAAATCGTCAACGTAAGGCAATAAGGAACGTTGAATGGTGGAAAGAACACGCAATACCTTAATGCTGGGTGGCATCGTTGTTAGCTTCAATGGAATTTCAGGCAGGCGTAAATCCACCTACGGGCATCGGACAAGACGATTCCTCGAGCGATCCTTCATTATCACAAACGATCTATTTATTCGGATTAGATTCATACCGAGGGTCCGTCATATCGAATACAACCGGTTTCCTGGCATCTCTCAGTATTATCTTGTTGCTTATAAGTGGATTACCATTGAACCACAGGTTCTTTATGTGGGTGTTAATGGTGATCATATGGGTTGCCATTACTGCAATGGCATGGGATAACATTTTAGGGTGTTTTCGATTCGGTTATTTAAAAAAATTATTATTTTTATCCGGATCGATGGATTTACAGATCGAATTGAATCGGATAATTTTGAATATCCCTAATTTTTAGTTGTTGAACTGGATAGCGAGTTGGATGCGGTGGTCATGTGTTTACAAACCAACTATTATTTGGGTTCTTTTAAATATGGCTCGAGTTGGAACCGGTTTCTCTTTTAAATTCCATAAAGCACATCATATATTTTATGTTAAACAAAAATTAAAGTCTTTCACATGTACTTGACCCGAATCGAGGGGTCTCACTCAACCCGAAAATCGACATGATATTTTAAGTTAAAATCTCTTCTTGATCTGACTTGACACGATTAATATATAATTAAATATAGTCGTTTAAATTAAAATCAATGAGTATCATAATATTATAAACAAGTAAAGTTAAATGTAAACAAAAACTAGAATAAATATATTCGATCTACCTCGACTTGAATTTCATAAACTAAACTCAACTAAAAAACTCTAAAAAAAAGTTTAAAGATAAAATAGTACACGTCAACTCAACCAACTTAAATTTTTTCTATTTAATTTTACTTGACTCAATCGAACACTCATCCATAAATTAGACTAAAACTCTGACTTGATTTCTATTTCAATGCGTATGAACTGTAAAGGTAAGATGTTCAAACCAACATAGAGTATATTCTAAACCAAAAAAGTCACAGTTAAAAAGGTAACTTACTCAAAAGTTACATTTTTTTCCTTTTATTCATATAAAAAATAAAGTAATAAATTCAAAAATGTCAAAACCTTGTAAAGGGGGATTTGCTCTAACTTTGGCCAATGATAAATTACAACTATATATATATATATATATGCAAAAGTTGGAATAACATCAATGCATGCAACTTGTTCACTAAATAGAAAGCTTTGGCACATGGGTTGAATCTTTAAATTATCTTCACTCCAAGTACTAAACAAACATTCTTTTTAGTAAAAAATAATAATAATAATTTAGAAAACAATGCATGTCTTCGTAACTTTTAGCTTTTCTTTTTATCATCACTTTTTTATTAAAATATTAAAAAAATTATTTCAAGTATTTTGTTTTATTTTAAAGTAAATTTTTAACTTTATATTGTATTATAGTTTAATTTAAAGATGCGTAAGCTCTAACATGTTTAAACACAATAACGTATATAAGATTTTATGTTAGAGCTATAAATTTTTAAGAAGTTATATTAAAAATTTAGGCGACGAATAATTAAATTCTCAACAAAAAAATTATATAATAATTTAAAATTTTAAGAGAGTGTGATTGCCTCTTATACCCCTTAGTCAATTCATGTTTGATAATAACCGTTTTAGGTTTGAGTTTATGAGAATTATGGGTCATTTAAATTGTCATTTCACAACACGAATCAAACGATCTTGATAGTAAAAGAATTTTTGTTATTTTTTTAGGTATTGGGTTCGAATATCATGAATGTCAGGATTGTAAGTGTTCAATTTCAAATGATTGAGAGTTATTTGTGAACATATACTACCTTGTATTTAACCAAGATTAATTAATAAAATGTCGATTCACATGTATCATTCATAGATTAATCTTAAAAATTAATTTAAAATAGATTTTGACATTTTCATTCTTTTTTTAGAAGTTAAATATATTTGACTCTTATCCTATATAATACTAAGATTTTATTTGGCAAGCAAAATTAAAATAGATAAATTTTTGAAATTTTGTTAATACAATAATTATAATTTTATAACATTTTTTGTTATTTTGCAACTTAAAATTTATAATTTTTTATTTAAAATAGAATAAATTATAATATGGTACACTCTTCTTCTCTTTTACCACTGAAATCAATGAATTATTTTGTTTAAGTTATGGACAATATTAATTTATAATTTGCATAAAAATTAAAGAAATAAAAGTTTATATCTCATTATTATTTTTAATTTTTATTATAATATGGTACACTCTTCTTCTCTTTTAACGTATTATGGATTTATATTTTTTTTCAGAAAAAGTCCCTAAACCCAACCCTATCACCCCTAACGCACGTGCGACTGTAATTATGACCCCTCCATCCTCATCTCTCAAAACAGGGAAAAAATAATAGAAAAGCCTTTATAAAAGTAATTAATAAAAGATTGACTTTAAAAAATATTAAGACAAAACTTATGGTAAACTATATTATTAGTCATCAATCTATTATATCTTTTTTACTTTAGTTACTGGATTATTTTTTGACAAAATCATCACTAATGTTGGTTTTTTTTTATATTTTGATCACTCACTATTAAAAAATTAATCATAATATTGATGTGTATTTTTTTCATTATTCATGTTATTTTCTCTCTCCTAATAAGTTGTCCACGTGGATACCACCTAATTGGTCCTAATAAACCAAAAAAAAAGTAAATTAATTACTATGGGAGGAAGGCAAATCAAACTAGGACCTTTACACAAGACACTTAACCACTGAATTAGGCTTAAATTTGTTATAATTTCATCAAAAAATATACATTTAAATTAGTTTAATAAGAATCACAAGGATTGAAGCTAATAAAAAAGACATGAGAAAGATGCAATCGTATTAGTTGTGATAACTAATAATAAGGATGGATCGAAGTGATGTAGAGGTCGTGAAGGGACAATGATTAAAAGGTTATCTTTGTTTCTTCTTGTATTATGTCAGTTGCAAAAGTTAGGAATGGACTTATGAGGGTGGTGGCTAGGGGTAGTTCGTCTTGAATTTTTAAAATATTATACATTTTAGATTTTTTTATTATATATTTTATATTGATAATATATTTTCGTTCATAGAATTTTATAAATATGTCATCTCTTAAAATTATAGAAGTTAGCTCCCATTAACATAAAACTATGCACCTGTCTTTGACAGAAACCACAACAATACAAAAAACTTTGCTTCTAGCAAGTCAAATGGGATACAATAATGTGAAATTTTTGGTAAATTATATTAATTTTTATCTTTTTATATGTTTTGTAAATTTTCGGATGATTATATTATGATAATATGAAACTAGTTGATGAAATAAAGTACTTTTACTAAATTGGAAGAAAATCAATTTAGATATCAAAATAGAAGAAATTAATTAATACTGACACCGGATATGTATTTAAGCCATTTACGACGCACAAAGGATACTCATCATAACCTAATATTAACGTGATCCGTTATTTCGTACGACTTGTTTCCTTCTATTACGGGCCTAACAATGATTTCACAATAATGCCCTTTACTTTCCATTTCATATTCAATTTTATAAAACTAGTATTTTTTTAATCTATAATTTAGTTTCATTAGTTAATTCAATATCAATCTAGTTAATAATATTAGAATACTTTTATTCTAAAATTATTTATAATATAATAATAATTTTATATAAGTTAATATTTTAAAATTAAATAATTAAAAACTATTATTTAAGAATGAAACAAATAATTAAGGTATATATATATATATATATGGATTAAGATCCGTTATGAGTGTTCACTTCTTATTTTTAATCAAATAACCGATCGAACCTTATTAGTTAGGTTAAATGGTTGACCATCGAAATTAGTTCGATTGAAGAATGATTAAAATTTTTCAATATTAAATATTAAATACATATTTTAATCTCAAATCCATTAAAAATTAAGACTTAATTATTTTTTAACTATATTAAATCCGTGAAATTCTCAAAACTTAATTAAGTTTTAACCAAAAAAATACCTCTATTAAATTCAAATTAATCTAACTAAAAGTTTGAACCAAACGACCTTAACAATAAAAAAATTATTATTATTTTTTAAGATTTCGGATTTGAGAATCGTATATGCATAGGAGGGAGGGGTATAAAACTAATCCGTTCAGCTCCAAAAGACAAGGGTGGATTGGTCATTTCCAGCATTAAAGTTGGGTTTAAGCCATTTTGCATGGTAAGGAAGGGTAAAAAGGTAAAAGCAATGGAGGCGGTAACTTGTTTATATATGCAGCGAAATTGCTTTCACCCTCCATTATTATTAGCTCTCACTATCTTTCTGAGATATGGAAGACGAAGACCAAAAGGAACTTCAACTTCTCCCTACTCCCCTCCCCATTTCCTCTCGCTCCTCCGATTCTTCTTCCCTAAGGTATCGATCCACGGCGGCGGCGGATCAATACGAAGGTCCTTCACTGGACTTGCAACTATCCATCAACTTGAGGCCAATCCAACAACCATCGAATTGTGTCATAAAAGGTCCAATCTGCGACGCAACAGGAAGCGTGGAGTCGTTGAAATGGAAAGCAGCGGAGCAAATCCGGCAGGCGGCCATCGAGAAAGCTTACGCGGAGCGAGTGAGGGAGCTGACGAAGAGGGAGATGGAGATGGCTCAGTCCGAGTTCTCTCGGGCGAGGAATATGTGGCAGAGGGCGAGGGAAGAAGTGGAGAAAGCGGAGAGAATGAAAGAGAGAGCGACGAGGCAGATTGATTCTACGTGCATGGAGATTACTTGCCAGTCTTGCAGACAAAGGTTTAGGCCTTGAGATCACAATTAAATTTCAATGTTTCTTCCATTTATATATCAAAACTAAAAAACCCTTGTTGTTTTATTCAAAGAAAGCTGACTTCTTTTATTATATATTCCATTCTCCATGGCTGAGTTGTTCTTTCAAGGGTTTCAAACTTTGGATTTAAGCAAACAAAACAATACATTTAATAAACACCTATATATATATGTATGTATGTTTTTGAGATTCCAGCAATGGGTTTTGATTTTACTCTAATAATGAGACCATACATACATACATATCATCTTAAGATCATATGCATCTTTTGCTTTACTATCATGATGCCTGCATGTGAAGAAGAAATCAAAGTAGAAACAGATTAGAGCTTTTGAATTTGAGATGCCAGCAAAGGGTTTTGATTGCATTTTAATGATCATACATCTATATTCAAGTTTATGAATATATAATTGATTATGCACAGCAAATCAAAGTTTTAACAGATAACTTGTTTGATTAGAGCTTTGGAAATTGAGATTCCAGCAATGGGTTTTGCTTGCAATCTAATTGTGAGATCTCATATATATTATCATCTTAAGATCAAGAAGTCCCTTAGTTTCTTTTGCTTTACCAGGATTTAAAGTGGTCTACTGTTGGAACAACGGACTATATATAGTTATAGTGGTGTGTCTGAAACCGTTATTGCATGATCACGATACTTTGAATGATCGCAATAACATCTGTTATATTTGTAATTATGATAAAAGCAACCGAAACACAATTTAAATCCCTGAATTACCAGCATAGATAGCAAGGAATCAATCGACTGCAGACACTGCTGCATTATTGTCCTAATATTTTCGTTTGGTGATACATTATTGTCCTAATATATATATATATATATATATATATATATATATATATGGATATGCATTTTTTAACTTTTGAAAATGCAAAAAGTTACTACTGATATCAGGAGCAGATAGGCAGGCATATCTTATCTGCTATAATTTGTAAGATTGGATCATGTGTTTCACTGATGCTATTCGCACTATCAAAGTGTAAGGCTGGAAAATTATAAAAAAAATTGTATTTATATGAAGAGCAAACTCTGACTTCATTTTTAAGTGTTAGATTTTGATAATCAAGATTTTTTATTTCTCTTAAAATATCCGTGTTTGTCGCTTATTCAACACACATTTTGATATAATTAAATTTTAATCCTCTAAATATATAATGTGATCATAACATATCGAAAAAATATTCATATCTGACACATTCAACCAACATACATTCATGATGATAAAAATGGAAGATTAGTTACAAGTTTTTGCAGCCTGCCATTGAGTTAACACACTTCCAATAGTTTCAAGTCATTTCAAATGAGTACACTCGTATCGGTTATCATAACATATTCGATATCCAACACTCACTACTCGAATATCGTATATGATCATTGAAAATAAAATATTTATGTCACATACATGATCATTGATCATAAGAAAAGAGTCCTACAGGTTATGTGATCATTCATAACATATATATATATATAACTGTTGAAACTCAGTACTGAAAACTTGGCATTGATGAGTCAAACCTGCATTTAAAGAGTCAAGTTTCAGAACCCAGAACCTTGATTTTGATAGAAAAGAAAATGAATGAGAACAAAAAGTTCAAGTAAATTCATCAGCAACAAGACAGAACAGTCTGTATGCCACTTGTTTTCAACTTCCTTTTAACTTTCTTTTCCATAAAAAAAAACCAAACACCCACCAGTTATGTTTGAGATCCCAACGCAAAATAACCGGACATTATTTGGTTAAATTATGATTTCAATCCCTTTATTCTTTGACAAAGGATCCTACTTTAACGTTGGAAGGACCAAAATTATATAATTTGATTTGTTTTGATAAGCTGAAAGCATCAGTCAAATCAAGAGGAGTTCAACAGTGAAGCTTTCATTCAAGATGCTTGTGACAATGGAGTTATAGCTGGTTTTTTTGTCCGCAACCTCCAAACATTACTCTCTTGGAAAAAAAATAGCCGACTCTATTTTCATATGTAATAGGTTAAGAGAAGGTAAGATAGTAGGATGTCTCCAACGTCAGGTTGAGAGTAGCTTCCGTGGGAGACCTCTGACAGTCAGAATTATGAATTGCCCACCATGATACTCGATCCCACGACCACAAGGTTAAGAGCCTTGCGCTTTACCAATTGAGTTGGACGGGCAATAAAAAGGAGTGTATATATATAAGCTTATGATCCAATTATATAGTGTAATTTTTTTAGTTTTAGGATCGATTGATGAAGCAAAACAAATATTGATATTAACATTATGAAATAAAAAGATATTCGTTGAAAAATATTATGAGTTAATCTCAACAATTGATTTCTCTTCTTCTAACGATCCTAAAAATGTGTAAAACAAAAAAATTTAAAATGGGTAAGTGGATCCTAACCCATATATATATAATTAGGATTCACATATGCAATGTAAAATTCTACAGATTTATGATCGTTAGATAAGTGAAAATAGATTGATGAGATTATCTTATCATTATTTTTTTTCTTTTCAATGAATATCTTATTATTTCCCACTGTTAAGCTTAACTTTTAATTTCTCTCATCGAATAATCCTAAAAAAATATAAAACTAAAACATTTTACACTATATAATTGAATTTTAACTCTCTCTCTCTCTTATTCAATAATTTAAGGCATTGATTTGATGAGTTTCAAGACTATCAACAGTGTTGGGGACACTACCTAGTGGGGGCAAAGTACGATGGAGTTTCAAAATTAGGCCCTCATGAAAAGTACATCTTTATTTTCCCTTCAAAGTGATGGAAAATAAAGAAAGGAAAGTACCCTTTATGATTAACTTAATTATTAGTTTTGAGTATTCTTTTGGTTGCAAGAATCTTCCAATAGATTTAACCTAATTCATCATCAAAATGCAAATTAGCTTTTCTTCCCAAATAACAAGTGAATTTTCGGTTATTTAAGCTATGTTATTCCGATTCTTCATTTTTTTGAAGTATTTTTATTCGAAATTCGAAGTATCCGGACATGAGTATACATCAAATCTTGGAAATTTTGAAACCCTGAGTATATCTAGAAATTGTTATAGGGATATGATATATTCAAGTTCGAGTAATATAGATTTAAAGAACAAAGATTTCAAAAATCTTCGATTTTCAAAATTCTATTTATCTATGAGTAGGACTGTAAATGAGTCGAGCCGAACTCGAATATTATGAAGCTTGACTTGATTCGACAGGTGTAAAATTAAGTTTGACTCGAAACTCAAGAGTTTAAAATTTTCAAGCTCGACTCGAACTCGAAATATAATATTAAAATAGATTAAAAAACTCGCGAACTTAAAATTTTCAAGTTTGACTCGAGCTCGAAAAACTTGAATTCAAAATATTCTCATACTTAGCTCAAACATGAATCTTAAGTACATGAAAACATTTTATTGTATTTTTTTTAAAACAACAATAATATATAAAATTGTAAACTGCACAACATTATCCTATTAATATCCGAATTTATTGAAATCATAAAATATCTTTTAAATTCGAAATATTCAAAAAGATATACAACTTTGATCATCAATTTCTCATTCATCACTCAACTGTTTTGAGCATATGAGGTGTAATTATAAAAATCTCATGAAGTAGAATATGAATCAACAAATTCATCATTCGAATCTCCACCTTCACCCCTAAAAAATATGACTCGGAATTTCTAATTTACCATATTCTTCCAACAACCTCTTCGACTGTGTATTTACCAATGAATGATGGAGATTCAAGGAGAGTGGAGTTGGGCAAGAAATGGTGATGAATGGCAAGTGAAAACGTAGTTAATTTCTGGGTTTTTCTTCTTATTCGTTGTGCATTATCACCAGAAAAACAATCATATCGATGGGAGACCGTGGGCTGACATATGACCACTAGCAATACAGGTCCATTTGTCTTGTATTGCTTATTTGGTTACAATCATAGAATTGCAAACACCCATTATTGTCTTCCATAAAGTCGAAGTGCAGGATAAAGCTGTAGGGACAACCCTAGCCAAAACAATCAAACTTCTTGTCATGACAAAACCTTAACATTTGTCTTTTCACATTTGTCCACTTGTTACCATCTGCTGATACTGTTTTTATGTTCCTTTGATCATATGATCAGCTGATTTGAATCCCTAGCTAATCTCTTCCCTTAATCCCATCACTTCCATACTAATATGAATTATGAACAAAGGATCACCCGTTTCCTAGACTGGTTTTATGTTATTAGATTTTCGATCGGTAGAGTTTGTGATTCGAATTTTGTTTTGATATGGATTAAAAAGTTTACTATGTATAAATTAAGAGAAAAAATTATAGTGGATGTAAAGACTCAAACCAAACCTATAGTGTAGGGGTAGAGAGTCCAGGGCACGGACCTTGCCGCACATCTAGTTTGTATAAAATTATACTTTTCATGTTAATTTTTTATTGAAAGTAGAGTTTTGTATTAAAGTAATCTTCTCGCAATATTAGATTTCTTTCTCATCAAATAATTAATCTTATAAATATATAATATTAATAAACAAAATCTTAGAGTCAGTGTGAGGTCTTATAGACTCAAACCCTTGTATTTTCGATATTATTGTAAGGGACATAGCTAGGATGAAATATTGGGAGGAACAAATTACCTAAGCTTAAAACAACAAGGACTTATCAGGTACCTAATATAAAAGATTGGAGGGATAGAAGTTTAATTTTACTTAAATTTAAATTAATAAGGACCTAAAATGTTATTAAACAAAACATTTTGGGAGGGACAAGAATCCTTTTCATCTCTCCATGTACCTTCCTCCCTTATTATAGTGAAGTTCTATCATCTTTCTACATAAATTTTGATATTTTTGTTTCTGATCCTATTTATTTTAATCGTTGTTATTCTCTCGATTATCATAACCCGAGTCAATATTTTCTAATTATCTTTTAAACTCTTGAGATCTAAATATGTGTTTGAACACAAACATTGTAAATCAATGCTCGAATACTATCATTCTAATAATTATAGTATGTATGTTCGAATATGTATCAAATACATGTACGAAACATCGATATCCGAATACGTGTTGTGCAAAGAAGACGGTGGGAAGAAGAAAAAAATCATAGTCAAGAACATGTGGAAACGTGAACCCTTGCCATAAAATTATGGGAGGGAAAGAAAAGAAGAAAAGTAGGGTTGAACTATAAAAGCAAAAAGGGAGAGTTGCAGAGTTTTAGGGTTTACAATGACATCAAACACACAATAATGGAGATTGCATTGCATGGGGGACTTAAACTAATCATAACAAAGAAAATATTCCCATGTCCCCCAACCCATCTTCTTCTAATTATTATGACTTTAAACTTAAAAAAAATGAAATATTTAAAGTGGGGATTGTCAATTCGGCTGTTGTGTTAGAATCTTTGGTGTCCCAAAAAATTCCTTTAATATGGTCAAGAATATTATCATTGAATAAAATAAAATATGTAGGACCAAATTCATAAATCAAATTAATTGATTGAGTTTCATGATTGATTCGATTCCTTGGCCTTTCGTTACACACATAAATTTTGTAACAAGGTTGGCCACTTGTTGAAAAAAAAAAACTAAAACGCGTAATTATGATATATTCATATAACAATTGACATAAAAAAATGTTAATTGAGATCGGACCATACAAAGAAAACGTTAAAAACTCATCTAAAAAAATTCGAACAAAATATAGATATAAACGGATCTAAACCACAACATATGATTAACCTATTGAAAGAAAACCGATAATTGTAAATTAGAGTCGAGCGTCGTGAGAAAACTATCTTCGAACACAAACTGTATATCCAAGTTCAATTAGAGGGTCCAAAGTAGGAAAAATCAACATGATAACAAATAAGTCATATCTTGATCAGTTGATGCATCGTCAAATCTAATATTGAGAAAATTAAACAAAAAATGGTTAAACAGTCGAAAATATAGCAAAAGACAGAAGAAAGTTTACCATAAAGGCAGATGAAAGCGTGTTATAGAGACATAGTTACTGAAAATAAAAAAAATAAAGAAAAAAAGATTCGATATAAGAAAATAAAGGAAAAACGAGGAATACAAACGGTCGACAACTAACATCAAGATCGGTGTCGTCGTCTACCACACAAAGGAAAAGGAAAGAAATATAATTTTATTTGAATATTATACCTACAACTTAAGGGAGAGAGAGGAGGTGTCAAATGAGAAATTTAATCACATACTCAAGAGATTATTAACTTAGTTAAAATTTATAATTGTCAATATTAATTCTATTAAGTTATCTAGAATTATGATTAAACAAAAAAATGATTAAGTGTTAAAAATTAAGTATAATATTATACCGATTAAAAACCACATCATTATAATAGTTAACTATTTTTTTTGTTACAATATGATAACAAGAACTATTTAACTCTCATTGATTTGATTGACATTTTTTTTAACCTAATGTTTAATTGAATTTTTTTGCTTAGTGACCAAAATAGAAAAATGTTTGCAGTTCAATGACGAATAAGATAGTTTAACGAAAAGAAAATCGCGGTTCTCTTCTGTTTTCGGCTTATCCTAAACCGCGGCAACGCTTTAAAATTAGGGCTTTAGGGTCATTTTTTTTCTCCGTACAACAATGGCGAATCGTTCAGAGAAACCGACCTCTAAACCTAAATCGACATTCACGAACCAAAATCAATACGAAACAAAGAAAGAGGAGGGGAAGAAGAGTGAATTTGAGTTCAGTAAGGTCTGTAAGCTGAACCACAACCAAGGGCCACGTCATAAGTATTTCCCTAGCCACAAAGCCGCTCTCTCCGCTTTCCTCTCTCGATTCGAAAATAAAATCTACGACGTTCGTTTCTTCTTGAAAAACCCTACCATTCTTCGACCCGAACATGCCGATCGCAATCGATTTTGGTGCGTCTTTTGCGATACTGATGTTGACGAGCCTAGCATCTCTTTCACTTGGTAAGGCTTTTAATTTGAGGGGTTTTTAACTTTTACATTCTTGTAGATTTTAAATAAAATAGAAGTATTTTTGAAGCTCGGCTCAACTTAGTTTAAGAAATTTGGAATTTGCAGCCATTTATGATCAAGTTACTTGGAGAGGATAAGGAAAATTGGAAATTTGAAGTTTGGATTTGATGAGTGAAATATATCTTCAAAACATGCCGCTAGTTCCTGTGTTTTGTTTAAATTTGATTTAGTCCCTCTAATTAAAAAGTTAAAAATTATATTCTCCTACTTTTTGAATTTAAGAATTTGAGTCCAATCGTTGTTTAAATACTAATAGTATCAATAATTAGTTTAGAATTTTTAAATTGTAAAAGTTCGAGGTAATATTTTTGAAGTATAGGACTAAATACTAAATCTCTATCTTCCATTATGTTCAGGGACTGGCAACATATTTTCACAAAATTTAGGGGATTCGACAAAGATGGCTTTGCCTTTCCTTTGGCATTTCGGTGGTTTATCTCTAATGGGGTGATTTGATTAAACTGACATCTTTTCGTCAAAATTCTCTCTTTCTAACATCTTTTAATTAATATTTTCTGAAATAGCACCCTTTCGGTTGAGCTCGGGGACGTACTTTACCTTGGTTTTTGTTGACTGGGATGCCACGCGTATAAGACGCATCCCCGGGAATACGCTTTCACGGGGTTTTGTTGAGTCGAACGCCACGGAGATAAGGCGAATCCTTGATGACGCGCCTTTCATTAAAAGTCATAAATGTCCATCCGTTTTTTCCCAACTACCCCCTCCTCCTCCCTTATATAAACTCCTTCAACCCCCTCATTCTTCACATCAAAATCATATTCTCCTCTTTTATATAACTCAAATTCTCCAAATATTTGAGTTTTAAATTTTTTATTAGTGGTAAAAAATTTATTTTTAAGTTAATATTTTTTAAATAGTTGTTATATTTTATATTAATACAATTATATAAATATTTTTTATTAAAATAATATTTATATAATTATTATTTATTTAAATTTATTAATTAATTATTTTTTGTACTAATTATATTATTTTTTGTCTACAGTTATAATGGAAAGTGAAATGCTGCTGCGATTTGATGTAAACTATATCTCCAGACATTTTAGTGATATGATAATATTTTTTTATAATTAATGTTAATATTTATTATTATTTTTAATTTATCATGAATTTATATTAATTATAAATTCTTATAATGCATATTATTTAAGAAATTGATCGTATTTTAGAGACATTTATTAAAAACTCACATATACCGACACTACAACGTATTTTGTCATATTTTTCTTCTACTGGGTTCGAGTATATTGCAACAATTATTGGCGGTTGCAAACTCGAACCTGTCCTAATTTCTGCATTGATTGAGAGGTGGAGGCTCGAGACACACATTTTATCTTCCATGTGGAGAGGCTACAATTACATTGGAGGATGTCTCTATGCATCTGGGGCTTCCCGTCGATGGAAATATTATGTGTGGTATGACGGATGGTGATTGACAGTCAATATGCATGGAGTATCTTGAAGCTGCTTCGCCAGAGTTTAATGGAGGTAGAATAGCTTTATCATAGTTGAAAGCTAATTTTAAAGTTCTGAATGAAAATGCTTTAGATGATGATGTAAAGGCATGTGCTCGGACTTATAGTCTACGAATCATTTGAGGAATATTGATGCCCGACAAATCTCGCAACCATGTGCATTGTATGTGTTTGCGACATCTGATTGATTTTGATGAAGCTGGAATATATAGTTAGGGCGCTGCAATTTTGACATTTCTCTTTAGAGAAATGTATCGTGCGACGAATTATAAGAAAACTATTATCGATGGATGTCTCCTGCTTCTGCAATCATGGGCGTGGTCCTGCATACCTTTCTTATGCCCGATCGTCAATGAACCAAACATATTATCCTTATTATTGAGATAATTTTCGAACTAAATTTTAATTTAAATATTTTTAATTAAATAGAGTGATATTTAGTTTATATTATATTTCATAGGTGGTCGATGAAAAGAAAGAATCATAGAGATATACGTACTAGATTAGAGGAAATCTGTTTACTTATTGATACAAAAGCTGGTATGAGGTATGTTTTGAAATCTGTTTAAATATGAATATTTTAATTTAAAATGTTAGATATAATTAGAATATTATATTTATTTGTATTGTATATTTATATTTCAGCTTCAGTGGATATCTTATGCGAGCGATGAAGTAAAGGCTTGTATCCCACTCCACCTGAGTGGGTCATTATAGGTTTGGATGTCAATTGTACCTCTTATATGTTATGCTATTATTGAATGATATCTAGTTGATCGCGTGCTCCGTCAGTTTGGTTGTACGCAATATATTCCTGGAACACTTAGGAATTTAGACGACATGCATAACATAGATAGACGAGGAAAGAAAGAGGTTAACTGGGTGGTGAGACACAGAGATTGTATTGCACTTTGGGAGAACCAGTATGCACAGTTGGCCCCAATTTTACGTTGAAACTGGTCATATGATTACGGATAACTATATGAACTGATTTAATGAAAATGGAAAACCGTTTTTACTTTCGGCGGAAGCACGAGGAGTTAACATTCCTAGGTGCCGAGAGAGACGTCCACCGTCTCAATATCATCGTCCCCCGACTCGTGGACGGAGAGAAAGCGCCTAGGAATGTTAATCCTTCGTGCTTCCACCGAAAGTAGAAACGAATTTCCATTTTCATTAAACCAGTCCATATAATTATTCGTAACCATATGACCAGTTTCAACGTAAAATTGTCGAGGGACCAACTATGCATACCGGTTCTCCCAAAGCGCAATCCAATCTCTGTGTCTCACCACCTAGTTAACCTCTTTCTTTCCTCGTCTATCTATGTTATGCATGTCGTCTAAATTCCTAGGTACTCCAGGAATATATTGCGTACAACCAAACTGACAAAGCACGCGATCAACTGAATGTCACTCAATAATAGCATAACATATAAGATGTACAATTGACATCCAAACCTCTAATGATCCACTCAGGTGGGGTGGGATGTAAGCCTTTACTTCATCACTCGCATAAGGTATCTACTGAAACTGAAATATAAATATACAATTCAAATAAATATAATATTCTAATTATATCTAGCATTTTAAATTAAAATATTAATATTTAAACAGATTTCAAAACATACATCAAACCCAGCTTTTGTATCAATAAGTAAACGGATTTCCTCTAGTCCAATAGGTATATCTCTATGGTTCTTTTTTTTCATCGACCACCTATGAAATATAATATAAATTAAATGTCACCCTATTTAATTAAAAATATTTAAATCAAAATTTAGTTCGAAAATTACCTAAATAATAAGGGGAATACGTATGGTTCATTGACGATCGGGCATAAGAAAGGCATGCGGAACCACGCCCATGATTGCAGGAGACATCCACCGATAGCAGTTTTCGTATAATTTGTCGCACGACACATTTCTCTAAAGAGAAATGCCAAAACTGCAACGCCCCAACTATATATTCCAGTTTCATCAAAATCAATCAGATGTCGTAATCACATACAATGCACCTGGTTGCGAGATTTGTTGGGCATCAATATTCCTCCAATGATTCGTAGAATATAAGCCCGAACACATGCCTTTACTTCATAATCTGAAGCATTTTCATTCAGAACTTCAAAATTAGCTTTCAACCATGATAAAACTATTCTACCTCCATTAAATTTTGGCGGAGTAGCTCCAAGATACTCAATGCACATTGACTGCCAATTACCATCCGCCATACCACACATAATATTCTCATCGACGAGAAGCAACAGATGCATAGAGACATCCTCTAATGTAATTGTAGTCTCTCCACATGGAAGATGAAATGTGTGTGTCTTAGGCCTCCACCTCTCAATCAATGTAGAAATTAGGACATGTTCGAGTTTGCAACCGCCAATAATTGTTGCAATATACTCGAACCCGGTAGAAGACAACTATGGCAAAATACGTTGCAGTGTCGGTATATGTGGGTTTTTAATAAATGTCTCTAAAATACGATCAGTTTTCTAAATAATATGCATTATAAAAATTTATAATTAATGATAAATTTAAATTAAAAATAATAATAAATATTAACATTAATTATAAAAAAAATTACCATATCACTAAAATGTTTGGAGATATGATTTGCATCCAATCGCAGCAATATTTCACTTTCCATTATAACTGTAGACAAAAAAATATAATTAGCACAAAAAATAATTAATAAATTTAAATAAATAATAATTATATAAATATTATTTTAATAAAAAAATAATATTTATATAATTATATTAATGTATAACAACTATTTAAAAAAATACTAACTTAAAAATAGTTTTTTTACTATTAATAAGAAATATAAAACTCAAATAGTTGGAGAATTTGAGTTATATAATAGAAGATGATTTTGGTGTGAATAATGAGGGGTTAATTGGTTTATATAGAGGAGGGTAGTTGGGGGAAAAGCGGATGGGCATTTATGACTTTT